TATTTTTTGAAATTCATGATCTAAAACAAGTCTTAAATATTTATATGAATATAAATCATCTTATTATAAATAAAATCAAATTGTTTCTATGCATAAAAATATGTTTTTTTTTTTTAGATAAACTAAAAAAATAAGTTCCATATGTATTGGGACAGAATAAATAATATTTATCTTTCATCATGTAAATGTCAAAAACCAATATAATGCACCTAAATTGGGTCCATATGTAACGCTCCAAAAACTTTTGGCCAAGTATTATGTCCTCATTGGGGCTTAAAGTTAAGCATAGACATACTCAAAAAGTGTTTTTTTATTAATCTTCTGTGTCGTTTCAATTTTATCGGATATTCAAAAAGTGTTGAAGGTGTATAAACCCCAAATCTCATGTTAAAGAGGTTGTCATTTGTATGATTAATTTTACAGGAGGGAAGAGGTAATCTGAAAAATCTAGAAAATATTAAGGGAATATATCACCCTAATTTCAATGTCTATAGAAATTTCCCTGTAGACATCAAAATTTATGGGACTCTATAAGACGTGCTCAAGAAAGGCATATATTAGGGCTTCTAAATACAAAGAACTTGTGACTTCATAACTCTATGTTACATGTACCTATATAATGAAATATTTTCATAAACAAACAAATAGAAATCATTGTTTTGTCTGTATCAAAATGAATCCATCTTGGAGCAACGGTAAAGCTTAGTTCATAGGTTCAAGGCGTGAAAACAACCACCACTGCCCTCTTGCATTAGGATAGACTGTCTACATCACACTCCTTACAGACGCGAAATATTTTGTATGCCAGGCTTCCTCTTTTTAATAAATTAATCATCAAATTTCTTTTATCAACATGTTTATCGTCAAAATTATATTCAAACTCTACAAGCAAACTTACATAAAGAAAATTTTGCCCAATAATTAGGAGAACAATAAATAACAACAACAAATCGAAGAACACAAGAAGTCAATAACACAATATGTGTTGAATTTCGTTAACTTAACAAAAAATTATCTTAGATCCTTTACAATATGGAGATCTCAAGGACTACCAAAACTTAATCTCCCATATACCAACTATTGCATCTAAAAACAATTAAGTTAAAAAATTAAAAATAAATCAACAATAACTACCTCTCTATCCCAAAACAAAATTGAATGGACTATGTGATTAATCCATATATTAACTTAAAACCCAACATAGGGTGTTGGAAGATCAATATTGGATTGTGTTGATGATGAAGAATACTTATTATCTTTAGAGACAATAGTGCCCACCGCATCTACAAACACGGCTACAATCTCTATTGTCATTTTCACCATCTCGATGCATATCTCTAACTTTTGAACCGCCATAATCAATAATAATAATCACAAATTAAGCTAATTCGAATGATAAAATCTCTCAATTTTTTTTTACTAGTCTCTTAGTGCGTGTATATCTCTTTGATATAATTATCAAGCAGATCTTTCTCTCTCTTTGTATATATAGTTAGAGAAACTCCTCCATGGTCAATAGAAATAAAGAAGCTTTAGTTAATTAAATGTGGCCTTTGAAACACCCCAAGGGACGCAAAAAAGAAAAGAAAAATAGTAGTCTTTGTGGGTTTGAATTGTTTCAACTAGTTGAAAGAGACACTTTGGTTGGTATTGTATTTGATGGCAATGTCATCCATTTATAGTTTCATGGCCATTAAAATAAGCCAATGTGGCATTTTCTCATTGCATGTAGCCATTAGCACATCAATGTTAGCTTTTAGAAGTTTCTTAATCCTTAATCAAGGGATCTCGAGTTTGAGTTTTCTTGGATATAAATTCGCCTTTAAAGAGAGTATTTTATCCTTAATGTGGAACTCCCGGTGCAAATTCAGATTTGGTTGGACTCCAACATGAATACCAAGTATCGTGTAGGAAAATAAAAAAAAAATAACCTTTAAAAAATAGAGTTTACGAGTAATTTATATATATTGACAGTGTAAAACTATTTTACATCATAAAGTTATCTTTTATTTTTAATATTAAAAATGGTACTTTTTATGAAGAGTAAATTCTCAATAATATAGAAATGACCAGGGAAGCAGCTGGCTGTTGTCTCGCCAGCTTGCTTCTCCGAGTTATTTTTCGTCATTTCAAGTTATTTCTTTTCGTTTTGGGAAGCAGTTGGCGGTTGTCCTGCCAGTTTTCTTCTTGGGGTTATTTTCATCATTTTAAGTTAATTTTTTCGTTTTAAAAACTTAATTTATTTTTTTATAAAAAAATGAAATTATTCTTTCTTTTTTTTACATTTTTTTGGAAAAGGGGTAGGGGGCTGGTAGGGGTGGAATGAAGTGATAAAAAAAACTTTAATTTGTTTTTGTTTTTAAAGCTTTTAACAAGATTTTTACTATAATATGGTAAATATGAGTAGCCATATTATTCATTGGATAACTCGTTTTTACCTATTTAAAATGTGAGTCGAGTAGAGTACTTTATCCATTTTTATTTAACTCGTTTTTTATTGACTCATATTCGACTCGACTCGCTCGTTTGCCACTCCTAGACTAAAAAGCAGTGTTTTAAAAGGCGGGGGCGTACGTGAGACGGGACGTTTTACTGAGTATAGGGCGAGGCGTAAGCCTTGAGACGTGGGGCGTAAGCTTATGGATCTTTAAATTTTTAATTTACAATATAGTATAATAATCTAAAAACACAAAATTATAAAAGTACATCAATAGTTTGAAAAAATTACAAACATGATTAAGGAAACTCATAGAAAATAAAACTTCTAACATGACTATACAAGTATAAATAATCTAATATCTTAACTTTCTAATAATGAAAGAATCATTATTTCTAAAATAAAATTTATCATACTATACAATTTACCCCCTAAAAGAAAATAATCAATAAACTTACTAGTATTATAATAAAACCATCACTCCTTCATGAATAAAATTAAAATTACTTTCAAATAGCTAAATAAAATATGATAATTTTGAGACACATGACAAAACCATGAAGACCAATGATAAGTGAAAAAGTAAAATTTCTCTACGTATTTTTAAAAGAAATGTTACGTAATATATAATCACCTTCACAATGTTACCAAATAGTAAAGATGTGATACTACACTTGTTGTTTGAGCTACTCTCAATCTTCTTATCTCTATAAATTAAAAAATTATTACTTATCATTCATTTATTCAAGAATTATGAGGGTCAACAATGTTAATTAAAGATTTTAACACATAATTTGTGTAAGATCTGTTAGGCGAGTCTCGAGCGTTGGTCGTGCTTAGGGCGTACAATTGGGTGCTTAGGGTGTAAGTCTTGCAGAACTAAGTCCCACACTTGAGTCTTAGGACTTTTTGCTAGAGCTCCGCCCTAGGGAGAGTCCCAAAAGAGTCTTTTAAAACACTGATCAAAAGCTTGGTGCTTCAAATATAAACGATTGACAAGTAATCGAACGATAAAATCAAATATTATTCTCACGGAAACTTGTGATTACTTAACTAAACCAAACAATTGATAATTATATAGGGAAAAAAAGACGACATACGTAGAAAAAAATCATATTAAAATTTTTCTAGTTATCTTTAAACTCTGCAAATGAGAGAAGCAACTGCTCAACTTCATCATCATCATCATCTCTCAACTTATCGACAGCCCTCTTGTAATAATTTCTTGCCCTCCCCATTCTTCATCTCAAATTTTACAAACCCAATCCAACTACTAACTTTTGGGTGACACTGTACCAATCTCTCAAAAATTTCTCTTGCCTTGTCTGTTTCATTATACCTCAACTCAAACTCAATGTAAGACAACCAACTTTGCTGGTCCGGTGTCCACATCATCCACCTCTCAAAAACCTGTCTTGCACCAGCTACATTGTTGAGCATCATCTCTTCCATATGAATATATTTGTACCATAACTGATCAACCTTAGGGCAAAAGGTAACAGCTAGATCCCATACATTAAGAGCATGATCAATAAAATTATTTTTCATCTCCATATCTCCATACATCAACCACATGGTATGGTCACGGTAATCCTTTTTAAGTGCACGATTCCAGATAGAACGAGCACGACCAAATTCGTTTTGTGATTCTTCCCATTTAGCATATTCAATCCACACACTGTTATTCCAAGGGGGACGGCTAATTAACAACTCAAATTCCCTTCGCTTTTCTAAAGCCATTATTGATTGTTGAATGAATTGTTAGAGAAGATGGGAAATACAAACAACTCAACTGTGTGACGGAAAAAAAGGCTTTATATTATATAACATCACATAACTACAAGTTTTTTCCTATTTGGTTAAGGTAACCCCTTTTTTTTTTCCTATTTGGTTAAGGTAACCCCTTTTTTTTCCTATTTGGTTAAGGTAATACTTTGAACTAATACCCTTTATTTCCTACGTGCATAATATACTATTTGGAGATAATACTTTATTTATTTGATTAATTTCTGGACCCTGGTTATTTTTTGAGATGTGAACCAATCTAGACGAATTCTATAGATACGTTAACTTATTAATTTATCTGAGTTATTAATCAATGAGGTTAAGTTAATTTATTAGTAGGAATTTTTTGAGTTTTTTTCTTATTGAATATTCTGGTTAATCTAAAACTCGTATGTCTATGAAGTTAGAAATAAAAAGAACATACATTAGAAAATCCAGAATAATGATTACGCAAGGCATATATCTGCATCCTAATTGTCCTAATGTCCAAGGTGGCCTGCTCTTTAAGAGTCGATGGCCACTTCATACAATGTTCACCATGACAATGGTTTAGGAAGACTTTTCTCAACACTGAAGAGCAAAAACATAGGTTGTAGTGTAGTGGTGGAACTATTTCACCCTTAACTAGAGGTCTCGGGTTCGACCCCTAGTGTGGAGAAAATCTTGTTGGGAGTGTCACCTCCAAATTGGACCCTGCAAAGCACGATCCAGATTTAGTTTGGGACCCAATGTGGGTTCCGGACAAAAAAAAAAAGGAAGAGCAAACAAACTCTCTGGGTTGCGCAAGGATGAAGGTATAAAAAGTTAACTATGTTATTTACACCGTAGGATAAAAACTACAAACAAGCTGAATATTTGCATCAAGAAATTCAAGCAGCAGACATTGAGGTTGAGACGATCACGTAGGATAAATACAGAATCCCATCCTGAATCTTGTCAATGGCTGTGCTATGATCTGCACGAAGATTCCGAGAATACACATTGGCCTTTTCCTGGATGGATTTCTGAGAATCTTGTGAGCCAGAGGAAGCACCTTTGGTTGCTACTAAATATGCTTCAGCCACATCTGATATGCCTGTAAAAGCATAAAGTTCATCATGGATTGTCCGGCTTATTTAGACCAAAGAACTCGTTAGGCAAATGTTTTCTATTACAACAAATAATGATCTGCCTATACCTTCTCCACTTAAATACCAGTCTTTTGTTACTTTAAAGGCCATTCATAGCACAGGCAAACATATAGAGGGGGAAACTACATGTTCTCCCCAAACAGTTTTTTAAAATTATTCAGACTAGGATTTTGGATTTAAACATAACCAGACATCATACAATTGACAATATATGTATGCATGATTATATATAGACACACAAGCACCTTGACTATAATTGACAATAAATATATATAGCAGTTTAAAATAGAACGCCAAATTTGTATATCATCTACTCTGTACTGATAATCACGATTAGAGTCTGGCCAAATAAAGGGAAGAATCCGCTCAGCTTCTTCTTGATCTGAATCCGCCTAGCTGAGGTACTGAGCTGCAAGGTTGAACAATTACCTACTACTTATCTAGGCCTTACTTTGGCTGCTAAAAAACGGATCTGGCAAGGGGTGATAGATAAATGTATCATTAAGTTGACCCCATGGAAAAGGCAATATTTATCTTTGGATGGCAGACTCACCTTGGTAAGCAGCCTGTTGGATGGAGTTCCAACATATATGATGTTTCTTTGTAAGTTGGATGTGAATGTAGAGAAACACTGAACAACCATAAGAAGTAATTTCGTGTGGGAAGGCAATGCAGATAAAAGGAAGCTACACAAGGTCAAATGGCAAAAAGTGACGATAACAAGAAAGGAGGTGGAATGGGGGGGTTAGAAATCTAAGCTTGCATAATAAGAGTTTATTGTACAAACGGCTATGGAAATATATGATGGTAAAGAAAATACTTGAAAGAAGATGATAAACGCCAAAATGTTGAAAAAGGATATTTGGAGCCCTCCCATTGTTTTAAGTGCTTTTAAAAGGTGGTATCTGGAGTACATCAGTAAACCGTGGAATGATTTTCAGAAGCATATGGAATTGGGAAGTGGTGCCATGGAACAATATGAGCTAAGCTGGCCATGGAAAATGTAATGGAAAACTAAAGCACCCATCAAAGTTGCCTTTTTGGGTGGGCTGTCATTAGGAAAGCATGTTTAACACGAGATAATTTACAATGGAGAGGTTTCATCTTAAGCAACAGATGTTACTTGTGTGAAGAGGAGCTGTAATCAGTCAGTCCGTGTTCATTCATTGTAAAGGTTGCTTAGCAATGTTGGGGGCTTATTTCAATCTTTGTGGTGTAACTTGGCCACTTGGGTAATGCCAGCAGATGTTATAGGTCTTCTGGAGAGCTGGCAAGGATAGAAGATAGCAAAGGGCCAAAAAGGTTTTGGAGAACCATCCCTCTGTGTTTTCTGGACTATTTGGAGAGAAAGGAATAGTGCTTGTCTTGAAAACAGGAAAAATCACATCTCTAGAGTCCAGATCACAGCCAGACGGCCTATGCATAGAAGGATGATCCAAGTTGGAATAAGCTTTGTTGCCCAAAAATGATTGGTTCTGCACACACTAGGTGCTACAGATGAAAAAGAGACAAAAGATGAAACATAAATCATGGATCAACTAAGTCCTATTGGAAACTTGCATAAAGAGGAACCTCATGTAAATACCATAGAATAAGATTCGATATTTTTCATGGAGATTCCATAAATACTCAAAAAGAAAGGAAATTCGACACAACTAAATTTTTTTGAGATTGGATGCAGTTATTATTTCATGATCTAGCCTGTACAGAATGACTCTTGAAACTGTTAAATATAGAACTTGAATCATAAGATGATGCTTACGGCCAAGGCAATAAGGAACAAGATGAAGTTGCAAATTGCAGAAACACTGATGCAAATTTACCTGTAATGAAACTGGAAGAAACTGCTTGAACACATCTGGTCATTGATTGCGCCTTTGCTCGTATAACATTAGCTCTTTCAATAGAATCTTCAGGCCAATGAATTTTCTCAGTTTCCTCCTTGACATCTTGGTCCATAACTTTATTTGCATCGGAAATGATTGACTTCCCAAGCACCAGAAGTTGAGTCACAGCAAAACAGCACAGTTCTGAAAACCTCTGTTTTGGTAAAGACAATCAATTACAAGTAGATTCATGTTCAAAAGGAGAGAGCATTTAATCTGTTCACAAGGAACTTGCAGACAAACGGAATGTATACATACATGAACACCCTCTGAATGAAGGGTATCCAGTCTCCCAGTTGTCCTTTGAATCATTTCATTGGGAGCTAGTCCAGCTAAAGCATTTGCAAATCTGCAATGAATTTAAACCAGAAATCAACACCACTACCAAGATATCAGAAACAATTGCAATCTTTTCACGTAACCAGCAATCCATTATTATGCAAAAACTCAATGTTAGAATTGACAAGCTCTCCAATATCTCAATCAGATTACCCTCCTTCCATTCACTTCATCAGGATTACAAAAATTCACTAAGTATCACCCTACATAGATGCCTGACAGGCATAAACAAACTAGGTTTTTTTCCTCTTAAATAAGGCAAATAGTTTATCAATGTTTGGGAATCCCCGTATACAAGCAGAAAATTAAAAAGATCAACCATAAATAATCATTATTTGAATGTAAGTCAAATACATTATCTCCACTTAAATAAAAAGCCTTTCACCACATTAACAATGTTAAAGAAAAATTCACTAATACGAATTCCTAGTTAATCGAGAACTTTATAAATGCCTTTTAAAAACTTGAGTACCAAGCAAAATTTACAGTTTCCATATGGAATGTAAGGGTACAACTCTAAGCCCAGATCTCCTTAAGAACATCATATATAAACTGAGAAGTCCTCAATGTGTACATCCTTATTCTGGTATAAGTAGTTTTTTTTATGAAGTCTAGTAGAAGATATAATTTCCAAATGGAATTCAGCCTTCATGCTAAATTTAGTATCAACCTTGACGGACCACAAAAATTTCAAGTGAACCGAAATCGCAATCCATCCTTTAATCATTTTTGTAGAGATATCGTCCTAATCCCTTGTGTCAAATCACTAAAGTTAGGTTGACTATGTTAAAGACATCATGAAGTAAACAAAAGTGTGCTCTCTAACAGCTTAACTTTTTAGATAAAATAGTCACACATGAAGAGGTTTTGTTGGAGTTTCACCACCACCTAGTATTAAAAATGAATTTCAACGTGCTTGACCCTTGAAAAAGAATCAGGACTGCATGTGAGGGGACATGTTGAAGATATCATTAAGAAAGTAAAAGTGTGCTCCTCTAACCACTTTAACTTTTAGATTAGATGGTCACACACTTCAACAGCCCAAATCCAGTGCTGATCTCACACCCACACCCAAATTGTTTTGGATCGACACGGTTGCGGCAGGATTTTGAAGGATCTGATCAACATAGGCCACATGAACAGTCTACCAACACATTAATGGTCTCGAATAATTGATCAACACACTAGTAAGAGTGCAGCACAAGATTGTTACTCACTTAAAAAGAGGTGCACTGATCAAAAGTTTGGGCAATCATGGGACTGGTCGGGCAATTATAAATTCTGGTGCTGAGCTTGTTTGGAATGAAACGGGTGATACCAATGACAGTAAATGCTTGCTTTGGAGCTGGATAGGCTGCTGGTGCAGGAAAAAAGTGAGGCAAATAGGGAACCAGTTGCTGTGTGTTGGGTGATCTGGAAATAAGGAAGCCAGAGATATTTTGAGGGCAAACTAAACCTTAACATATTAATAGAAGTTTTAATTCATGTGGAATGGATATTAAAGCATGATAGAATTCATTAGTACACTGCACCTGTGACCTCTTATATAAACTGCAATGATAGAATTCATTAGTACACTGCACCTGTGGCCTCTTATATAAACTGCAACCTGTTCTGTTAGGGAAGTCAGTTCACTTCTTTATTTGGTAGTTCCCCTTTTTGTAATGAGCAACACCGTGTTAGTGATTGCCTCCTCACATAATATAACATATACTTCATAAAATGTTTGAGCAGTAAAGGGGACTCTTTCTGGGCCCTTAAAAGCACTGCTAGCCCACCACAAACAAAGAAAGTAGAAAGCAAAGGAAATAGAGAATATCAGATCTATGTTACCCTGCTGCTAATTCTGCAGCCTTGTTCACACTGGAATCATGCAAATTCTTCACCTCATCTGTACTATCCCAGGTTCCAGTCTCAACTTTCTTCCCTTTTTCTGATTCTATATCACTTCCATCAACTTCAGATCTCAAGTCAAAAATCTGCTGAACCTCTTTAAGCTTTCCATCGTAAGAAGACCTTTGATCAGATGGAACTTTTGCTTTTTTCCGGTTGAACAGCATCGCGTAATGATTGGACAACGACTCAAGCTCCTGTGAGCAATAAGTAGGCTCTCGAGAAAAAAAGGACCTCATAAAGAAAACCAGTAGTATGAGAAGGAAGAGACCTCCAACTGCTCTGGACCACCATAAATATAGAAGCATCGATCAAATGTGACTTCCTCAAAGAACTGATCTTCATCTATTTTCCCTTCAACTTCTTTGGAGCTCATGTCAACATCCATACCAGTTTCTGATATCAATAGATACATAGTTTCTCTGCCCAGAAGCTCAAGCGCTTCCATTCCTTTGGCAGTAAAAGTTTTTCCAGTCTGCAGGAATGATCCAATATAAATTACACAGCTGATGACATGGAAAAAGGAAAATCAACTTTTTAGCCGACCTCTAGTATGGATGGTGCAATGGAACCAGGTGTGGCAGGTAAACCACCATGCTGAATTGATTCCGCAATATTTACAGCTGAATTCTCAAGCCTAAAAATATAAAACAAAATATCATTAGCTTAGCAATTTCGGTTGCGCTACATGAAAAAACACCCAGGTATTGACTCAACACTGAGTACGGCTGCAGGGAAACCGATTCTCATGCTTACTGGTTCTTTATTTCAGCTATCCTGGACTGGAATGTGTGACTGCTTTTCTTAGTCCATAAATTTGTGTCTGTGTGTATAAATATATCTGTATATATTTGTAAATGTATGATTTATGATTTTACACCACTCTACGATTATCTAATAGAACATTGAAACATTTAACTAGAACAAAGTTAAATCCCCAAGCATAAAATCAAATTGGCACAGCATTTCTTCTCAAACAGACCATGATGTACCGAATAAATATGTTTTTTTTTTAAAATACTCCACCCTAGCTATGTAAAGCTTTCTAAAGTGCGGGCTGAAGAATGACACAATTATTTGACAATTCTGACATCAGTTGACATACTTGTGGACTAAATCAGAACCTCCTTTGATTGCATTTCCTAATGCTTGCCAAGCTCCTGAAGCAAAATTATCGACTGAATGGTCAATAACTCTCAAGCCCTGCACATTAATCTTGCATGGTTAAAAGCATGATCATAACAAATAAATACAGCAAATTTACCTTTACAATTAAGATAATTCTCTATAAATAGAAGAAAATGGGGATGGGAGGGCCTCACATGCTTAAGAAAACCTGCAAAAGAAAATACATCTCAATGTGTGTCAATTGAGCTAACATCTAACATCTGTTTAATATCACTTGCCTGGCCAAGGAATGAATCTTCACTAGCTTTCTCTAATTTTTCTAGAGCAGCTTTGCGTCTCTTGTCACTCTCCTCTCCACTCTCCACTTCACCATTAGTTACTTCAGGATCATCCTTGTCTGAGGATTCAGAATCTACCAATAGAGCAACCTGAGAATTTAAGGTCATTTGTGTAAGAGTATTTCCCTTCCATAATGTCGAAATAGCAAGTAGGCTAAGCTTGTGGAATAAATAATCAAGATCAAGCAGGATAATAATAGGCAAATGTTGATGGGGGTTGAATTTTGAGACCCTTATTCAGTCAGAAGGTGGAAATTCATTTTATTATTATAAGCTGCATTAACAAACTCTAGTTTCCTACAGAAAACAGAAGGTGAGAAAAGGAATAATAACTCAATTTGAATGGCATTTCTTATATGCAATCTAGTCATAGGACTGTAAAAGTGAACTTAGGCTGAAGTACGGTGATTAAGCACCAGTATTTAGATGAGCCTCTTCCAAACCATAAAACTGGTTGACATGTCACAGCCAAACAAAATCTGAATATTAGGCATCTACCATATTTATTTACAGAGCACACAGACAGTCGTTTTGATGATATAACAATTACAACTAGTATAGATATAATCAGTTTAAAGTGATCTTTGCCTTGGTAAACCACCTCATCCTGGATCGAGTTTCCTTTGAATACTACGGTTACATTGACAAAGGAGATTTTAAACAATAGGCACCTTTCTAAAAGAAGACATCAGCAACTCGGTGGCAGTTGTGTCATCGATGGATGATGAATGGCCCAGCCTAACTTAATAAGTTACCAGAGGCCCAGAAAAATCACATTATAACAATTCTCCTCAAGTTTCTACATGGCTTACCAAACTATTCCTAATATCAATAGCTACAGTACTGACAGACGTAGCTAAATGATGTCATAGTAGCAATTTAAATATATAATTATGATAAAGAAAAAAAAAAGATTTGGCCAGTGCAGTGTGTGCTTAGGAAACACCTACACGTGCAACACCAAAAGGTGACAAGTATACATTACTAAGGAAAGAGCAATATCATACATCCATTAGTTGCGTAACTTATGGATCAATTACAAATAGTTACGATCAGCTGCATGAATCGTCTATATCCATTGTTCTCTATTCAAGCCCATTTCATGTCTATGAAGGACAAAATAATGCTGATGGCTTTTGTTAAGAAGCAAGGAAGAGCTTTATCAAGAAACAGAAGAAAAAACAGGCAAGGAAGAGCACTGCGCATTGCAAAAGTGGAACGCTTACATTATGCAAAAGTTTGGGGAAAAAAGCAAAATATTTCTTCCTCAGCAGATATACAAAACTACAAATAAACTAAATAAATTCTTCACCTAGTTAAACACAAAATGCGACCAATGAAAATGGTATATGCAACCAATCACAAAGAATTGTTAACCAGGTCAATTTAAAAAAAGGAGAGATTAAATTCTTGTTTTGCTAAAAAAATTTAAGAACAATGTTCGTTCAAATGAGTGACAATACCAACGTTCCATCATGAATCAGTCAACTACACCTCAATCAAACTAGTTTATGTCAGCTATATGAATCCTTTACATCCATTCTCTTCTAGCTTCATTTCACTGCAATACTAAAATTTTGTCTTTAAAAGAAAAAAGGGTACGAAATGAAGTAATTACATTTGATCACGCTGCATTTTCTTATATTCTATAAAGACAGCGATATTATAGGTGGATCAACAAGCTACATTTATGCAAAGAGAAATGCGAAGAAAGAGAAGTACATTGCGGGATATCTCTTCAGCAGCAACAGTAGCAGCCTTCTGAAAATCCGTAAGATACGAAAATGCAGAAAGTCCCCAGCCACCTCCCCATCCTCCTCCTCCTCCTCCTCCACTGACGCCGTCTCCCGGCGGAGGTGGCTGTACTACTTCAGCAGCTAAAATTGGTGTTTCTTCTGGTGTCTTAACTATCTCATGATTCGAAGACTCCATCGTTCTGTTCAACATTTTCCGGCGAGAAATTTCTCCAAGTTCCAACTGTTTTCTCCCTTAGATATGTAGAGAGCGTTGATAGTAAGCACGACGCCGTATTGCTCCTACATTCGATTCGGTTCGGTGGTTAGATGTTTGGTATTTGTTGATGGGTTGGGCTTTCATTTTAGGAAAAATCACACCATATACACATTTAAGGGTCAATATTACAAGTTTTAAACACAATCTTAAAATATTGTTACTTATAACAGTTTATTTACGGGTTATAACATATTACTTAAATTTAACTTTATTTAAAAATTAATTACAGGTTTATTTAAAAATAATTAATCTCTTTATATTTTTATATTATTAATTATTAATAGCTAGCTAATATAATTTCAGTTCCTTTTTTAAAATCAAAATTATCAGTTACACGAATTTAGGGATTTACATTGATTAGACTTCCTTTTTTACCGTTACACTCCAATTAATTTTATTTAAAAATCAATTTCCATTTATTTAATAAATGATTAATCTATTTATGGTTTATTATTATTAATTAATAATATGTGATTAAATTGATTTCTGTTCCTTTTTTAAATCTGAAATTATCAGTTACATAGATATAGGGATTCACCTACAACAAGTTTCCTTCTTTACCGTTACCACCTCCCATACGCCAATCCCTCCCCCTCCCCCACGCTCATCCAGTTCTACATGCCATTAACACACTAGCCCAATTTTACCTTCATCTATCACATCTTTCTCACCACCAAACTACACTAACTTTACAATCCTCCATTCAATTTAGTTTTTTCAACAAAACCATGTCGAAGAAAACGGTTGTAACTCCTCGAAAGATCCCTCGATTAGTCGAAGGAACTTCTACGGATGAAGTTCATGCTCCATCTTTCAACATTTTGACTCAAACACCGCTGCCAAACATTGTTGAAACTCCGGCTAGGGGTAATTCATCTCTATTGAAAGATCAAAAACAGAAAAAAATGACTCAAATAAAAGGGTGAGTCCGATAAATCGAAAGGGGAAGAAGAGGAAGGGGAAAAATGTTGAAACCCCTTTTGATTCTGATTTTGTTACTGAATCAAAAAAGAAAAAAAGAAAAAAAATAATGAATGTTGAAGTTGCTCAGTCGTCAAAACCATCTACAAGAAGATCCAAAAAAAAGAAGGAATCAGAAGTCCCAACACCTAAAAAAGACAAAAAAAATTGTTAGGGTAAATATTATATTCAATTTATTTTCACATTATTAAAACTACTGATTTTTTCCTAAAAATATCACATTATTCTTATATTATTTTCGAAATAGTTGTTTGAATGAAACGTGTATGAAATCTGATTAATATGTGTATGATTCTGATTAAACAGTTGATTGTTGGATATTGTATGATTTGTGATATAATAGTGGTATACAAATGGTATGAATTGTGTTTTAACAGTAGTGTGATTGTCTATTAACTGTATATACAAAGAGTGAGAATGGCGCGATCAGTGAGAGTGAAGTTACTGGTACGATTGCTAGCAAATTTGGTGGACCTCACATAGCAAAAGAACATGTTCCGGATACCACCAATTATCCTACACCAAGACCACGTACAAGAAATTTGAAATAGTTGATTGCACGTTCTACTTTTTTAGAATTACATGTTTTTTTTTTTACTTTTGAACAACTTTTTTGTATTTAAGTATTTGATGATATATAATATCATATGTTTTCTTCCAATCAGATACCATCTACATATGAATTACTGTTTGGCTATTATAATTTCAGGATACTAGTAATATACAGATTTCATACCATTTGGATTCACTATTTTAAAATATCAGTGTGAATCCAAATTGTACAATTAATGGATGAAACATGTGTGAAATTTGATTAATATGTGTATGACACTCAATTTAATGTTTGATGGTTGGATATTGTATTAATTGTGATATAATATTGTTATACAAATGATATACATTGTGTGATTATTTGAAATTGATTTATTGTTAGTATAATATGTGTGATATAAACTGAAGTTCGTGTTGGAATGAAACTTGAATAAGATTGGTATAAAGTTTGTTATATATTACACTATATTTACACTATCTTATATATTAATCTGGAATAAATTTTATTTCCAAGTATATTAAATCTGTATAAATAATTAATGAATCGCGTATATGAAATCTGGAATCAAAAATCTGAAATTTGTACAAATATTTACACTATCTTATATATTAATCTGAAATAAATTTTATTTTCTAGTATATGAAATCTGTATGAATAGTTAATGAATCATGTATATGAAATCTGAAATCTGAAATCTGAAATCGGAAACCTGTACAAATAGTTACACTATCTTATATATTAATTTGGAATAAATTTTATTTCCATGTATATGAAATCGTAAAGAAATCTACATTAGCTTTCTTTTTATCTAAAAAAACCCGCACACCAACATTATTGTGGATACTAACAGGGGGACATCTATCACTAACTATATATTTCATCTCTATATTGTGAATATTAACATCTATCATTAGTTGCGATGTCATCGCACTTACTAGACCACTATAAAGACTAGAATACTCATATATAATCCCCTCCATCTGAAAATCAACATATTTCCCTATTTCATTAAAAAAAAAAACAATTAGTCTTACATAATACAAAAAAAAACAAAATTATACACACTTGTCATTATTTTTTCATACAAAAATCATTCAAACAGTAAACTACAAACATATTTCATTAAAAAATAAAATTTCAGATTTCATACCCACTTAATACAAATTTCATACATACAATCATCATTTATACCAAATTTATACATTTCTCATACCAAATAGTTCATTCCTTTCACACAAATTTATACATAATTGACAAAACTTATATAAACAATAACATTTCACATTTCATACCAACTTAAAACATTTTTAATACACTTATTCAAACTTCAAAATAACTTTTTTTACTAACTAGTTAACACACTTTCATACCCACTTAAAACAACTGTCATACAATTCTTCAATACACTTTCATACCAAATTAATTACAATTACACTAACAAATTCATTCAAAACTATACATTTTAATTCATTTTTTCACGAAAAAACCAGTAATCAATAATATTACAGAAACTTACCAAGAAAAAAACCAGTTATCACTAATATGGTGACACTAAACCACTACCAAAAAACAGAAACTTATCAAGAAAATCACTAATATTACAATTTCACAACAACTAATAAGTATTATGAACAAAACGTATTGTTTATACAAAAAAAAATATCACATTCAATATAGTGGCGATTTACAGTTTCATTTTTTTTTTCTATTTCATTGAAATCCAAATAAAATAGTAAACAATTAAAAATACTCACCTGAAGCAACCCATCTTCCGCCATGTTTAATTAATATTGATACGTAGTTGTCCATCACAAAAAAAAAACACGTTTTTTCAACCAAAAAAAAAAAATCAATTTGTCGCCAGTGAAAATTTCTGGAAGAAAAACGAAAAGAGAGAAACGTGAAAGAAAAATGGATAAAATCTTATTTTTAAATTAATTTTAACAAATTGGAGTGAATTAAGGAAACTGAATATTCTTAATTAGTTTGAAATCCCTTAATTCATGCTAATTAATAATTATCTTAAATTAATTCAAATTTAAGATAATCCCTATTTCCCTTTTTTTCATTTTTTCCTTCAAAAACGTTTTATTTTAATTTTTTTTTTATCTTTTTATTCTTTTTAAATCAAATGTTTTTAATTACTAATTTTTTTTTTTTTTAATAATATGTTACAACCTGAAATTTTTAATGTTATAACTTGAAAGTCTAAATCTACTGCTATAACTCGAAAATATTAGTATAATATATGTCATATTAGAAATTTTCACTTCATTTTTGTACTTTCTAATTTGGAAATGACATGTGTGCCATCAGAAATTTAAAGGGAAAAGGTCGTATGTTGGCCACCTAAAGTTTACATCAATTTTCATTTAGATATTTTATTTAGATTTTGTTTATTTTAGACTCTTCATATCATGTCCCGTAGGATTGTTCATGGTTATAGTTAAAAAATCAGATCGAATCGTGATTCGAATCAAATCGAACCGTGATTTGAACCAAATCGATTTAAAAAAATTCAATATTTAGTTTGGTTTCGTTTTAAATTTTGAAAACTGATACTATTTGATTTGGGTTTGATTTTACTAAAAACAAACCTCAAAAATAACTAAACCAAATCGAAAAATTAGATATAAAAATTTAATAATTATTTATATATTATTCATAAATAAAATACAAATATTTTGTTAAATTTTAATCAACTCAAGTCTTTAAGTTTAACATTTTCTCAAGCCCAACACTTAAATTTTCGTCCAACTATAATAACCCTAAGTCCAAGTCCATCAAAATTCATAAACTGACGGTTACTTTTTCATTTGATTTGGTTTGGTTTTAGAAATTTAAAAAATGACTAGATTGATTTGGTTTTGATTTTAGCCAATAACCAAACCACAAACACCCCTAATGCCCCGTTATATATTTTGACATTTTCTTAATCAACAAAATTGTAATGTGTGTGTATTAACTAGTGAATGACACATGTAAAGCATCGAATTAAATGAGGACATTTGTTAATTATTAAAAAATAAATTTTTAGCTTTTTTTAAGAAAAAAAATATTTTAACAAGATCTGAGTTTTTTTTCTTCAGAAGCTTCAAAAGACCTTCAATGAAGTCGTCAAATTTCATCTCAATTTCTTCAATCCAAAGCAACAAAATAGTGCTTGGATAAACAATTTTAGCTGAAGTCCATGATTATCATTCATTTCAATCATAATTTAGTCAACAAATTTGAATTTTCATCTAACAAATTTAATAAGAATAATTATGTATCATTAGAGTTGTCAATATGGGCTGACCCATCTCATCCGGGCTAATCCATACAAGCTTTGCAATTTGACGGGTCAGGCGGGGCTAGCCCATTTTTTATGTGGGCCAGAAAATGG